TCGCCGGTCCTCTGGCCGGTTCGCGGACGCGTTCGAGTCCAGAGTGCCCTTGGAAGGGACTGGTCGCGTGTTCTCCTTCCCCGTCATGCGTTGACGATTTCTTCAGGCTGCACGTACAAACTGAGGAACAGAGGTGGACGAACAGTGGGTGTTACTTAGGTGAGATACACGCTGAAGAGGACCGGGATCGTTGCGAGCAACATGAGGGACCCGGTGTCGCCGAGGAGGTGCTTGCTTCTGCTCTTGATCGTGGCGGCTGCCCTCGTGGATGCTTCCCAGGTGAGAACACTCGGCTGCAATGTAGGCTCATAACGAGTGAAGCCAAGACTTCTATTTTGGAGGATTCCAAATTTTCAGAGTTAAACATTTTTTAACTAAAAGTTTTAAATAGCAAAACATTTAAAAAATCAACAAGTGATGGTGCCATTTTTACCAACATACTCGCGAGTGTGCACTTCATTCTACTTTTAACTGCCTGCTGTCTGTTTCTGGCTTGGTACCACCTGGTCAAATGGATCCAAAGCTGTTCACGACATTCTGTACAGTCTGTGGTATCAGGAAATTAGTGAATGATTGAATGCTTCTCGATAATAGGCTGCGTTTGGTTGACTTTGGATCCTCTAGGTCAGACACGTTTTTATCTTGTCCTTATACCTTGCTTCGTTGTGAAGCGCTGAATATAAATGCTGATCGTTCACCGATCGCTCTTCGTAATTGTCCAAGAAATCTTTGGATTTCTTAACCTTTCTTGTCATGGAATATTCCAATATAATGCTACACAAGATTTTCCTATTATCAATTACTCACGGTGATAAGCGTTACCGGTCAGATTCGCTGAAAATTTTCTGTGTCGAGTACATCATGCAACTGGCACATTTTCTTTTACCTTCATTATTCGTGTAATCAGAATGTACAAGAAGTATGTATCATGTGCGTTATGTATGTTCTTCAACATAGTCAAGATGGACTTTCTTCAATAATTATGTGTACTGTAATATTTAAGAATATTATACACGTGGGTAAAAAATGATGGATCAAATGGCTGGATCTCAAATGAATCGAATCATAACAGTCAACTGAAATACGAGTGGAAGACAAAAATCTGGCGACAGGCTGGATGACATTTCGACGGATCGGCAGTTTCCAAAGCTGACGCGAGCTCTGTTCGCGTCTACGAACTTTCCGATGTGATCGGAATATAATTCGTGCGAGGATTTACGAGAATGCATAACGATTCGAATAGCAATTCGAACTACGTAGATAGCGATACGTTGCCCAGGGCGGAAGGTGTAAACGAGAAAATCAAAGGAACTTTGGGAAGAACCTCTTCTTTATTACTTCATTCAAATACTAAAGTTAATCTTGCCTTATGTACAGTTTCTTTTTACTTATTAATTAAATCAGTTTGCTAGAAGTATTTTTTGCTGGCTATGAGTCTTCTGCACAAAATTTGTTATTCTACATTCAATGCCTCAAAATACCATAATGATAACTCTAATCAATATTAACAATAATAGTGTACTTTAGAACTGAAGATAGTCTTACGAGGATGCAGCTGCAGAGTCATAGATTTTACTAAAAGGCGTCGATTGACCGACTGTCATTAAGGAATTACTTGTTAAAGTCGTATGAAGAGACTCAGTTAGTTTAATATTGGCCGGATGTCGAATAATACTTTCTGATAAGTGACGAGAAGGTATGCGAAGATTCTTATCTTTCCACGTAACACCGGTACGTAACACCGTGTGTAATCGTGAGTTAATTCGGTGAGTGAACTTTTGTCAGACTTTGTCCAGAAATTCAACAGTCAGTTGCTGCCATTTTGTCATCTTTCTGTTAATAATCCTTCATTAATTTCCTGCTTAGGTTCTGAAGAATGTTTACCTAACTTGAGTGTGATTCTATAAGTATGTTTGATGGAGTGGAGAATGTTTGTTAACAATTTTCAAGGTATCTATATTTTTATTAAATTTGTAAAAATTTGATAATGTGGAGAATATTCTTAAATATTGATTGAATGAATTTATGTGTCTGTAATTTTCAAGGTATTTACATCTGCAGTGATTAAATTAGTTTGAAGATCTCTTACCAAGGGAAAATTTGATTTGCATGAGAATAGTGAAAGAGAAATATTGATGTGTCAAGTTTCATATTCTGGATTCTAGTTCCATTCGTTTATTTTATAATTAATTTAGCTATTTCGATTATTCGATAAGCTAATCTTTTGAGAGCTACAAGAAACGTCTATTTATACATTATTGTTCATTTAATCCAATAATCTGGCAATATAAAATTTGTAAAAATAGATATCTATTAAAAATCTAATGCAAAGTTCAGTGCAACTCCACTCGATTCTAACAATGAACATTGTGGGTGAAGATAAATAATAATAAAATAAGAACTCAAGATTTGTCAAGTTCTAGCTTGAGTATGCTTAGGTATTTTTGATTATCTCCACTCCCAATGGAGCTACAACTTTGGTACAATGGTTAGAACCGAGTTGTGTACACAGCATTAACTATAAGACGTATAACTAAGTTGCGATTTCGATTAGTATACAGATTGCGAGTGTTCTATTGAATTATCATGCGATAACCCAAGCTTGATTGCGTTATTAGTTTGGGAAATCCAGCATCGTGCATTAAGTTGATGCATAAACAAAAGTTGCTTTTCGAGACAGTCTTATAGCGAATTGTATGAATATTTACGTATTGGCAACGGCTTTACTATGTTATGTCGTCACGCGTATATCTCCTACGCGGTGTATCACCCCCGCGTTATATCTGTACGTAGAGCCACGCGCTATATCGCCCACGCGTTGTACAGCCGCGTTATATTACTCACTCGTAAAATTCTAATCTTCGTACATAAATAAATGAAAGAATTTTTTCAATCTGCAGCTTAGCGAGTGATCTAAAATTGGCTGACCGATTTTCGTGGTGCTGAAACTTTTCAAACCATTTTCAGCGATATTTTAATGCTTTATGAAACTTGCTCAGTTGATTGTTAACTATTTTCTCCGCTAACTGATATTTATATTTAATGATCTTTGATTATATCAATTTGAACCTGGAGTTATTTTAAAAATACGGAAGGAATGATACCGTGTAGCATATTTATCCATAAATAGAAATTTTATAAGACACAAGAAAATGACAGCACCATCGACCATTCTGATATCCAGAGAGTATTTTTGAAAAGTCAAAATGTGCTCGATATGGATATACTTCGTGTGTTTCCTGTATTCTGCGATTTTCTTTGCTGCCGGCTTTAAATAACCATTCGACCGTCAATCTTCATAAGATTCCGATACGCGAATTTTATCTGTTCCTTTCTCGATCTCGTCTTTCCGTTCATTCTATTTTAACGCGGTTAAAAATGATCTAATCCACATTTTCTTGTCATGTAAATAATTACCTGAAATATGTTAACTTGCTTTCAATTTAAAAGAAGTCAAATATTACATCACAAACCTTTTTCGCAGGTCAGTAACAATGAGTGGATGAAACTGTATAAATTGAGGATAGTAAAAAGTGTCATTGGGGAGAAATGGACGTTGAATGGAGCATGAAATGCATGTGTTGGAAGTGGATGCGTTTGTAAGATTTTAAAGTAACTTTCATTTCTTAAAATATTATTTCATTTACTCAAGCGATTTTGTATTATGTATTCAAATATTTAAGAGAATTATATGTTTTCCTGTGCTGCATTATTTTTCAATTTCCCGCCTGTTTTTTGCGGGAATTTCAAACGTAATGCAAGTTTCAGAGTAATAATTCATCAATCATGCAAATGTCAGTAGAGTTTTTTAAATAAACGAATAAGTGACAGAATGTTATGGGGGTCAACGGGGTTTAAAAGAAGCCTCGTTCTCGCTGTTTGTATCTTTTCGTCGGGATGGATGCGTTTCTCGGTTAGAATTGCCGGACCAAGGGGATTCACCGGAGAAAAAGCTCGAAAGATTTGTACCTTATGAAAAATATGGTAATGTACAGGGTGAGCGGCCACGTTCGATACCGTGGTTGTTCTCACCCAATGGGAGACCAAGATTCCACAAAGATTTTGAGGCTTCAGACAGGACGCGTAATTTGAAAAGTTCTGCAAAACATGCAGAAATGTTGATCAACTTTATTCTTTGTTTATGAAGAGTTTATTAGGAGGAAGGGAAGTCACGATATTTCAGGAGCTTCTCCGGGAAAAATCGTTTAATCAAGCTTTCAGTGCTTCATAGTTACTCTCGATTTTACAATTGTCCACGGTCTTATATTTTTAAAACTGTTCACGAGGAATTTTAATATGTATCAGGTCTTTTCAGATGGTTTCTATAAAAAGTCATTTTCAGTTGGAGGATTGAAGACTATGTCAGGAGGAAAATGACTATATGAATGATTCATTGATATTGTTAATAGAAAGCTAATAATTCTATTAAATGACTAATTCTTGATTCTACAAAACTAGCATGATCTCATGAGATAAAAGATGGCACACCAGATTGTGGTCAGAAATTCACTGAAAATGACTATATCAATGATTCATTGATAGTGTTAATAGAAAGCTAATAATTCTATTAAATGACTAATTCTTGATTCTACAAAACTAGCATGATCTCATGAGATAAAAGATGGCACACCAGATTGCAGCCAGAAATTCACTGAAAATGACTATATCAATGATTCATTGATAGTGTTAATAGAAAGCTAATAATTCTATTAAATGACTTATTCCTGATTCTACAAAACTAGCATGATTTCATGAGATAAAAGATGGCACACCAGATTGCAGCCAGAAATTCACTGAAAATGTCTGATTCATTGGTATTTCCGGTAGAAAATTATTGATAACTTCAACCAAAGAATGATTCTACAGTCCACAAAGTATGACATCATTTTATGATATAATAGTGTTAAGGAGTAATACTGGCACATCAATTTGAAGGTTAAGTTTGGATGAAAATTATCATCAACTTATTTAGACTTGTCGATTAAATGGTGGTTAGGCGACACGAATCGATTTCCAGCCTCGTTTCAAGTTCTCGAAAGCTGAGAGAACGTAGGGATCCGTGTTGCAAGTACTCCTTGTTCCTAAGTACTGGTACTCGAGGGTCGTACGAGTGCAAGCTCGAGTGCTTTATCACAGGAAGGGACCGACTTCTCGACGATCGTCGATTCGCAAGACGATTTTCACTGACCACTTTTTCTCATTCGCTCAAGACGTCTCCAAAACTGTCCACGTTTTATTACAAAAGGTGTCCACTCTATTTAAAAAGTGTCGACGTTAAGAACTACTGAAATACTTATTTGTTTGCATATAAAAGTTTGATATTATTAATTTTGTTTATATACATTTAATTTGTAATCATTGTTACAAATATTATAAATACTATTTGTACTTTCAGATCAGAAGTACCTGTTCTTAGTTTATGAAGTGAGGAACTTGATTTTTCGTGTCTCTGTTTAATTACAAGTTCTTAGAAGTGACGGGTTTATCCATGGATAAATATAGACAAGCACCACTCGAATAGCCACCTAAACGTCCACTCGACACGATTAAATAGCCTGTCAATTGCTGTTTAATTAAACCGATCCGGTTAGCGATGAAACGCAATCAAAGCCAACGCCTTAATGAGACACCTTTTGTTTGCCTTCAAATTTTTTCACGATTTCTTAACACACGGCCCTCTCTGTTCTTTTGTGACGTAACTATTGAAACGATGAAAGATCTCTTGTACTTCAATGGTGATTTTCTTATTATTCGGTCCACTGACTTAATAACACATTGGAATTGAATTGAGTCTTAAGGGCATTCTGGGCTCTAGATTCAACTTGGAGGATGTTCTAGCTAGGGTGAGCTTTAAAGGAATTTTCAATACAAGATTATATTTACTGCTATTATTATGCACAGATGTGAATTAGTTTGAATATCTAAAACAATTAATGAGACAAGTTGTCTCATTTTATCTGATACATATAGATCAGTAGTAAAAAAGTTAATTATCAGTTCCGGTCAGATAACTACAAGGAATGTTCCTAGTAATCCATTTACGATTAGTCAGGGTTACGAGCGAGGATTACTCAACGATAAAAAGGTTAAGTCACTTTCTACATTTCTCTCGAAACGTCACATGGACATTCCTGGAAACTTCACTATCTATATTTTTGCAATTTTTAATCTGGAAGACTGAGTACCGTAAAGATAATTAGTGTGAAAGGTCAGGTTTCTCAAACTGATTCAACGTGATAACACACGTGTATGATGCTTTAATTTCACGTAGTCTTCCAGAGTAAATTTTCCTTCGTGTTAGAGTACAATAGAGGGCTAACTCAGTCCAAATTGATTTTTCCTATAATCCGTCGAGGTATTATCTCCCGGACTCTTCTTGGTAATCGCTGGTTCGTTAGGAACATACGTGTGCGCGAGTCTGTATAATCGTTTCGAGGCTTTATGAATCAATATGTTGGTCTAGGTCGAGCCTTAAACCATTTATGAGATTAGTTTAATAGGAGTTTCAAAAATCATTCTTGATATTGGGAGGGATACCTGATGCTTCAAATTCTGCATCATTAAGTATACTGTGTTTCAAGTTTGAAACCTCAAATATTTGTCAATAATCAAACACTGAGTCTCAAACTTAGACCCAGTAATATAATATCCATATCCAGTTTACAGATGAAGGCCTCAATCAGTGTTAAACAAAGCAAAGTGAAGCCTCAAACTATTCATCAAACACTATAGCGTAACACTCACACTTGGAAGTCTTAAATGTTAATAAAATTAAATATAACATTGCAAGAATAACAATGGCAGTTATGATAATTCAAGCCTCAAATGTGAAACTTCAACTGCGAAGGATCAACTGTGAAACTTCAACTGCGAAGCCTCAACTGTGAAACTTCAACTGCGAATGCACAACTGTGAAACTTCAACTGCGAATCCTCAACTGTGAAACTTAAAGATCATCAATTGAATCACAATTTCATGAATTAAATAATTAATGAAAGAGCAAACAAGATTTGAATGACTATAATCTTGTATGAACATGAGACATCAAATTGAATGCATAAATTTGGAAATTATACTGCTTGACAAGATATAGTGATTCATTAAAGGCCGTTTACACGTGCCGTTAACGTTGGACGAAGTAAGTTCGACGCTTGGACAGGTAGGATCCCTGTGTCGAGGCTTCTCGCCGGTGCATCTGGTACGCATGCACTGGTAAATAACGTGTTTTCACCAGCCCACCTTATCGATCCGTTTCCGCATTGGTTACTTCTCCTCGTTTTTCGAATTTCTCGCGGATTTGCGAAACCATATGATTCCGCTCTTTCGTAGAATTTATATTGAAGCCGATACCGCGGCGACGAACATGGAAACGAACGACTTTGGAGATATTGCTTTCGCTTGGATTTGCTGTCGTACCTGATGTCTTAATTCTTGGCATCCTCAATTTTTTATCACAGCTTCACTTCTGACTGTAACAGAATCATCTTTGAAAGTTTTATAAATTTCTGAATTACAGCTTGAAGGAAATTTTTTGCAAATGCTTGCTTGAAGTTTGATACACTTTAAGAGGACTTTAATGAAATTTCTGCTTGAATCTTTAGTTCATGATTGAAACAACAATATGCAAAAGTTTTTAAAATTCTGATCCAGGGTGAAAAGTACCAATTAAGCTTAATTGAGAAGTGGACCCTCATTATTCAGACAGATAATTGTCCATCGATTCCTGTTGCATCAAACCCTGAAGCACAAAGAATGTCTGGATACCGGGTCTGGTATTAAGATTCGATGTCACGAAGAGGGTTAAACGAGAAAAAGAAAAAATGGAAGGAGACGTCGGAATAGTCGCGTTCTGGAAGGCGTGGGCGTCTGAAACTGGTTTCCATGTTGTGCCCGTCGTAAGGGCCCGAACCAAATGAAAGAGTACAGTTGCACAGATACCAATGCGAATCTTATTCCAAATGTCCGTTTCCTTCGCGTGATTCGTTTGTTTGGACGATGAGTACACGATCCCAACGAGGTACATTTATGGACAGTCCTGACACGACTCGAATGATCCTGGAGCCTTATATCGTTCGTATCAAAATGGAGTTCGTTACGCCTGAAATACGTTTTCTTCGGCGAGATCTTCAAGTTGTAAACCAGTTGGATACTGGACCACAGCTGGACACTTATTGGTAGATGACTCAACCTCCGAATGAAGCTCTTTTCAGTTAAATATAACTCAAGGGTAAAAATTGAGTCGTCGGGGATTATTTGGATTTATTAATCTAAACCAGGTCTATATTTTGTGCAAATTTGATAAAAAGGAAGAATAGATGTAGGTTCCTAAACATAGATCTTGTATGAGTAAGATAAGTTAAGAGACATAGCTTAGCACAATAGAGATGTTAACATTGTAGAGATAATTTATCTCATAACCTCATAGTGTGATTCAACTTAACTACCGTTAAGTTTGATAGCGAAGTAGAACTGAAATGTTTAAAGGACAAACCTAACTAATTGTAACTTGATAAAGATACTATAACGAAATAACTCTAAATACCGAACTCATTTTCAGTTCAACAGCCGTAGCAGGATCGAAAGAAGACAGCCAAGTTACACAGACAAATCTCAAAAATAACCTAATCAAATCCAGGTCGTAATAGCAGAGTCGAAAGGAACGAAGATGTTATGATTATGTAAAGCGGTAGTTAACAAAGATCTAATCCAGACTCGGTTAAATTTAACCCGAAGATTTCACCTAATCGAATCGAGCCGATCGCAAATCTCAAGATAGCGAAGAGGCTGCAGAGTAGGCTAGTCGCGGCGATCGTTGTCTGAACATACTGTTCGATCGGGTTAACTATTCCTGGCACGGAATCGTTTCGAGACGTTGAATCTCACGTACGGGACGTATCTTACGCATTACCTCTTTGTTTAACCACTTGTCAGGGTACCGGTGTTATCTCGACGAAACCAACCGGCGACTGCAAAGCAACGTTGCCAGAGTAATTTCTCAGAAAATGTACATACATGTCCAGTGGCCATTCCGGTGAGATCACTTCCTCCATCAGCCATTTTTCTGTCCTCCTTGACCTCATTGGCGCGCAGAAGTACATATTATCCGTTTACCTGTGGTGCAAGGACAACATAGTATTGGCCCACAATAGGTTCCATAATTACATGATGGCTCAAACACATTTAGACAAGTATGCAAGCTCTTGGGAACCATTATTGAATGTTTAAATATTTAGAGATTTAGGGTACACAGTATTTGAGTGTTGGGAGGTTAGGAAAATTGGCATTCAAGAGTTCAATTTGGTATTCAAGAGTTTGGAGAGTATTACAGAGACTAGGGACGTGTTTAATAATCTGAGAATTTGATATTTAATGATTCGTGGTGCTGGGTATTTAGATGTCTAAGGGTTGTTTCTATAGATTTCAAAGAATGTGTACATGAATGTCTAGTAATTCATAGCGTTGTCTATTCCAGATGGCCGGAATTTCGAA